ATGTGGTGTGTGTTTTACTCTGTGTGTGTGTGTGTGTGTGTGTGTGTGTGTGTGTGTGTGTGTGTGTGTGTGTGTGTGTGTGTGTGTGTGTGTGTTTCAGGAGGAACCGTGTGACGACTGCTGCACTCATCTCTGGTGCCTTCCATGTGCACTTTGCCAGGAACAGCGCGAGATTAAGTATCAGATAGCTCATGCAAATCATACAGCAAATGGGCCTATTTATGAACTGCCTCCTTGGGCACCTGGGTGCTTCCAGCTGCACACGATCGAACACCTCCACACAACAGTTGCTCCAATCAAAAAGCACCATTCTGAGAAGAAATCTGTTGCTCAAGCACATCCTGTGGCGCCTGTTCCGAAGACGACAACTACATCCGTTGATCAAACACATCCTGCAGCGCCTGCTCAGAAGAAACCTGTTCATCCAACGCCCCGGCGCACTCAAACTGCACTTGCCGCGCCCCAAGCAAAGCAGATGAAGACAACTAAATAAACAAACTTCACGGCGGACTTGGCGGGAGACTGGAATTCCATTCGTGTCCGTCACGGCATAAGGACGAATCTCGAAGACACAGGAATGCTGCAGCAGGCTTGGCGGAAAACAGCGGCCGGCTGGCTGGCTAGGGTCGCCCTTCATCTATTCTTGTCGATGATTGCCGGTGATAAGCAAGCGAACTGGTGCCCCCCCAGCATTGATGGAGCACGAGCGTGTGGTGTTTGAAAGGAAAAAAAAAAAAAAATAGAAGTAAAAGAGAGGCGGCTGGTTCTCATCCTGTCCGATAGAATCAACTACAGCAGGTTTAGCCTTAGTAGGGCATACTCACACAAGGTCATTCCAGCTGAGCTGTGGGCGTAAGTGCGACCACATACATCGAGCTCTGGCCGTGATTGCGGTCAGATACATGTTGTAAAGTGCTGGTGTGAGTATGTACCATTAATCCGAGCTAGGTAAGCGATGGTCCCGAAAGGGGTGGAGGATGCAATGTGCAGTTTGGGCGGCGGCCATTCCTGATCAGAAGCATGCTGCCCTGCTTTGGCAGATTGCACACTTGGCGCGGTGCCCACCGCGGCGGAGTGGCAATCTTCCAAAAGTCAATATTTTAGGGACGCTATGTGCGCAGCAGGGTGTGGGGCAACAACTGAGTCTATCCCTTACCTTTTTGCCCACTGTCCGGCGGTGCATGCGTTGTGGACCTGGTGGGCGGAAGAAGCAGCAGCGGATGCATCTTCTCCACTACAGATCACCGGAGGATGATACAGCAATCATCTTGCTGGGACTACAGTCTTCCCCCGAATACAGCGCACGGTCATTATAGCTGAATTTAGACTGAACGATAGCCCACATTCAGCTATAATGACCGTGCGTTGCATTCGGGGGAAGACTGTAGCGCTGAAACCAAACCCGCCAGATCAGGAAATGTTACTCGCAGGGGAGATTGTGCGGACTGAAATCCTGTCGGCAATTTTTGGGCAGTGCGGAACTGAATGCATCCTGCAGGGCACTAAGGTATCTTTATGCACACTGCAAGCGCGGCCCACGGAGGCGATCACGATTGCCATCATGGCAGATAACATGCATCGCTGCAGATCCACGCAGGCCGAGGAGCGTTTTTGGAAGAGATGGGGGTCCTCCTCACAACTACTACCGTCTTCACCCGAATAGGACCCCCCCCCCGGTTATTATAGCTGTATCTGGACTGAAAAGTGCACCAAATACGGCTACAATGACCGGGCGTTCTATTCAGGTGAAGACGGTAGTTAACAGAAATGCTCAGACCCAAAAAAGGATCTTCGCTTTGGCCCGGCGCTGAGCAGGCAAAAGCTAATCTGAATAGGTAGCATGAGAAGCTGAGCAGCTAGGTAAAGTGAATAGGTTGTATAATAGTTAGGTTTTGAGGGTACAGTTTGAATAATAAAGTTTTCAAAATTAGTGTACTGATACTAGGGCGGGGGGGGGAGAGGGGTGAGATAGGGGTGAGATAGGGGTGAGATAGGGGTGAGATAGGGGTGAGATAGGGGTGAGATAGGTGAGACAGTATGGGGCTCTGCAAAACCCAAAAAAGAGTTCTTTTTTTTTGTCTTTTCACAAGTTTTCAGTTTGACAACTGAGGGATGCAGAATCGTTACGAAGTAGTTAGGACGTACTTTTCCACTAGTATATACTATATACTATGTTAGTATATACTATATATATACATAATATTATATATTTGTAAGTACTAAGTACCACATGGCAATTGGCCAATTTGTGAAGACTAATTAGTAATTATTACTAACTAATAATTAATAATTACTAATTAGTAGCATCCATTCGCTAATTGTAGAGGTAAAACTCCCCTATAGGGAGGGAGTTGCTAAAAAGTTAAAAACAGTTTCCAAAAAGTAGGAAACATGTAATCAATCATCCACAGATCCCATACTATGTGATAGGACTCACAGGTCCTGGAGTCATAGGACATTTGTTTAGTAGGACACAAGAGTCTGATAAGACCAATTGCAAATTTTGAATAACAGATAGTTGATGCATGTTGTGAACACTGGGAGAGCCCATCTGGGCATGGGGGCCAAGGTGGCTATTACCAGCACCATTCCTCTTTGCCCTACCTACCAGCCCCCCTCTGCTATGCGATGGGTACCATGGATGTTTCCCAGCTAGCAGGTGTTTCCCAGCTATGCGAAGGGCAAGGCAAGGTTTACTTTTCGTCTTTTTTTGGAACCCCAAGAAGGGCAAGGCAAGGCTTACTTTTCGTCTTTTTTTTGAACCCCAAGAACCCCAAGTTGTGGCCTAACTTCGGTTACCAATTGTACGTTGTATGCTTGCCAGTGATAAGCAACCAGACTGTTGGCCCCCAGAATAGATGGGGCTTTTGTTTTTTTGTAAAAAAAAAAAAAGAAAAAAAAAGGACATGAAACAAAAATTGAAAACAACATAGAGGGAAAAAAAAATAAAATATATATATATATAGAGAGAGAGAGAGAGGGAGAGATAGCTGTGGTTTTCGGGATGATGCTACACCGAGCGGCTGATGGGTAGGGGGGCTGTAGTTAGAAGGAGAGGGTGATTGCGAAAAAGTCCAGCGCCACAGCGAGCTCTTTCATGCCTTGTTGTTTTTTTTCGCCTTTTTCCGTTTTTCGGCCATGCTAATCTTTCTATGTACCGTCCCAATTTTAGCGTCGCTTGTCCCGGAGGACCCCTGTCGCTTGTTGCCTTTTCTTGGTGAACCACGCTCAGCGTACAGGAGACGATGCATCCGTAAAAGATCGCTGAACCACAACTCTAGTTTCCTTCTCCACCTCCAACTCAGGTTATCTATCCGGTTAGATATTTATTTATTTATTTATTTATTTATTTATTTATTTATTTATTTATTTATTTATTTATTTTATTTTTTTTATCATCGCACAGAGTTCTCATGTGTGTATACTCTCTCCTTATGTCCCTAGATACTGACCACAGCAAGAGCCCACAAACCCTAAACCCTGTACCTCCAGGAGTGAAAAAAAAAAACTAAACCCGAGTTAGCGGACCTAACCTCCAGTGAACTGTAGTCTGCATGCATGAACTGCTGCTAAGGATGTTATCAGCCAGTAAGGGTGAGAAGAAGTCCTTCTCCTTAACCTCACATTACTTTGCTGCAATTAAACCCCCAGTACCTCTGTGAGGCTCTTTTCTCCAGCGCAGATTTCCCCTGTGGAGCAAGTGTCTGAAGAAAATAACAAAAAAGGAAAAGCAAGCAAAACGACGCGGGGCATACTTTCTTCTTTTCATTTGGCAGGCGCAGAGCCCCGGCCATCTCAGTCAGTCTGGTAGTACTGTTGATCTGAAAAAAAATCGCCGCGGTATACCACAAGTGCATACTCACTCTCACACTCACACTCACACTTATTACGATATATTCTCATATATTTATTAGTATTATTATTTAATATATACTATTACAATTGACACGTGATTGCTCGCATTGAACGCTGGCCGGTCACGTCCCCCGCCCTCCTGGTCCGTAGGCTCTAACCGCCTTGCGCCCTCCCACCCTGTTCGCACGGGCTTTGCTCATTTTGCCCTGCCCTCCAGGCTTTTCTGACGCAACGTGGGAACGACAATTCGTGCCACTTGACAGGGAAGGAACACCTCGAGGCGACATTCGCCGAACAGTCACCTGCTGACATTCGCCGAACAGTCACCGGTTGCCCTGCCCTCCAGGCTCTAACCGGCTTGCGAGTCCGTCGAGGCGACATGCGCCGAACAGTCACCGGTTGCCGCACTTACACAAAGAGGCTGAAGAACAGTTTCTGTTGCCTCCTACAGTGTGTGCACATCGAGGAGGACCATTGATCATGGAGAGAGCGGTTTTGTGCACAATGTGCTGTAGAATGTCACTTCCGTCCTGCAGCGCGCTGCAGAGGAAGCAGTCTCTATGCTGATGGCAGGACAAGAGGTTCAGGCTGATGAGGAGGTGGTGCGACGTTAAAAAAAAAAAAAAAAAAAAAAAACAGCTAAGAGAGCGTGCAACTCGCTATCTTTCAACAAGGTGGTCACATTCCTTGGTGATGGAAGGTGTTGAAATCGTGGACAGCAAGGAGTCCGAGCTGGAGGAATTCGCTCAAGCTCAGCTGAATGATGCCAATCAACAAGTTTCCAACAATGTGAGAGAACAGTTTCGATTGATGGAGCAGCGGATAGCAATCTCTCTCTCTCTCTCTCTCTCTCTCTCTCTCTCTCTCTCTCTCTCTCTCTCTCTCTCTCTCTCTCTCTCTCTCTCTCTCTCTCTCTCTC